ATTTTATGTCAGTTATTACATAATGCACCAGATCTTTACACTACCACATTTTGTAATTGCCGCAAAATGTAAAGTTATTACATAATGTGTTGAAGACTTTTATTACATTTTATGTCAGTTATTACATAATGCAGTTTTAGTGCGAGTTTATTACAATTTGAAGCCTGATTTTATGACATTATTACATAATGTGTTGAAGACTTTTATTACATTTTATGTCAATTATTACATAATGCAGTTTTAGTGCGAGTTTATTACATTTTGAAGCCTGATTTTATTACATTATTACATTATGTGTTGTTATTACAAAATGAGGTCTTACAWGCTCTGTAAATATACCCTCCAGGAACAGAAGTGTCAAACAATGATGAAAACTGTTCTGTCCCCACAGGACAGGTCTCCCTAGAGGCCTTTTGTTTATTCATACTTGAAGAGTAAATTGTACGACTTACCAAAGAAAGGCACGCAGGGTGGGTTTATTGACTTGAGTTTAGCCAAGTATTTCTTAAAATGGTCCTGGCCTAGTTCCACTGCTTCATCCAGGATTTTCTTTTTCCTTTCTGGTATTGCCTAAGGGAGGGAGGAAAATGTGCAGTGAGGTCCCCAGAGAGGAGAGAACCAAGAGCTGGGTTCCCACACCTTGGTCAACATCAAATTCAAAAACCTTTCAAGGACTTTCCAGTACCAATTTCCTCAAATTCCAGAACCACACTTGACAGCAATTACCTGCTACCGCAGAATGTTACCAATAAACAGTTTTAATATCATGTAAATTCAATGAAAAACTGAGAATCAATTAAAGAAATGGGATGAAATGTACACCCTGCATTCGTATCTACAAGCTCAGAAAGAATGACCCRCCCTACTCCGCTCTGATTGGGTAAAGCTACAACTATGGCTCATGTTATTTGTTGAAAGCCACGTCAGTTTACCCGTAATCCTGAGTTATCCACTGCAACAAATATATGTTTATTAAATTTATTTATTTTATTTTATTTTTTACAGATAACGAAAATCACGTGTGAATAGAGAACTTCAATACCCAAAAAACATTCAAGGACTTTCAAGGACAAATGTTTTTTTTTGGGCTGTTTTCACTAACTTTCCAGGGCCTCGAAATCTTTTTTTTAATTCACAAACTTTCAAGTATTTCAAGGACCCATGGGAACCCTGCAAGAATCCGATGTTTTGTTGAAGTTGCAGACAAGCTTCCTGTCCCTACAGCAGTGTGACTCACCTCCATGGTGTGGTCCAACCTGTAGACTGGGGCAGAGTTGATGGCACTGACCACCTCCAGCACGCCRTTAAAGTTGTTGAGCTCCTGGAAAACTTGCAGAATCTCAATGATCCGTGACAACACTGCCACTCTCTCCTCGATGTTCTCAGTCTCTATGATACATCTGCACCACACAGACATAAACACAGATCTTTTAGTTTCTTCTAAGAAACCTAAAACTAAACTAGGCAAACGACAGGACTCACTTTTCAAACCAAAGTGTTAAGTTGGTGGTGTGGTGGATCATGCGAAGCAAGTTTGGAGAGTTCTTTTCTTTGTCCTCTTTGGTCCAGACACTCCCAACCAGTTCAGATGGGCGAACGGCTCTGTGGACCGAGCATTAAGCATTTAGTTACAGACTCTGACGTCAACAGATTTCATGGCCCCCCCTCGTCTTCAGTGTTTACCTGTAGAGCTCTGACTCAAGCAGTGTCAGCTGACGGGCAATCTCTATCGGGTGGAGGGTCATGAGACCAAATAATTCCATTTGTCCGGTCCGGCAAATGTGCCACTCGATGGGAGGAGGAGGGCTTTCAAAGGTGATGTTGTGACTGATGCCATTAGGCTGCGTCTGTAGTTTCCTCTTGATGATTTTATTGATGGACTCGACCCATTTTCTCATCGACTTGCCTGAAAAAAAAAGAAAAAAGCTAAACAATGAAAACCATAAATCAAAGCCTTGAAGTTCCACAGCTGTCCAAAAGCACATTTAACACAAAATGAGTGATTTCACTGCAGGTATTCATGATACATTTTCACTCAGCAATGGATGAAACTTCAAATGTAACAAAGTACAATATGAAAAATAYACAAGCAGAAGTAAATAACTAAATAACAATTACAAGTACAAAGTACACGAGTTCATACTCAATCACAGTAGTGAGAGTAAATAGGAGAGTAAAAGGACTTCTGCTGCTGACTCAGGACTTCTGTCAATACTCATCCTCCTTGATCTGAGCTCTGCCTTTGACACCATCTCTCATCCTATCCTCATCGACAGACTAACCTCTATCGGCATCTCAGACACCCCACTGGACTGGTTTAAATCCTATCTTTCTGACCGCACTCAGTTCATACAACTCAAGTCCTTCCGTTCCTTGTTTTCACCCATTTCCACTGGTGTTCCCCAAGGTTCTGTAC